AATCCTACGGCTTACTATTTCTAAACTGTGCCTTCATCCTCTTTGGTGGGCGGGACGTGACGATTTGGCGATGATTATGCAAATCTCGGCCGGGAGCCGAGAGCTCGACGGTGCGAAGTCGGATGCCACTCTGCAAGGATTGGGTCACACCCCGTCATACTCTTTCGCAGTCTTTGCGTCCGCACAGATCCCGCCTGTTATCACGTAACGTGGCAGCTTACTTCTTTAGCCCTAACCGATTGTTGCCTTGTCTTCGAGCGCTCAAGGAAGTTCAGATGAAGTTGCGGAAGCATGCAGCAACAGGTGCATGTCGCCACCATAACGATTGCAATTTATAAACTTCCATGATGGAGAAAAAGATCGCCCGTGTCATTACGCACTTACAAGATGCCTACATAAACGACGATTGTTTGCTCGGGGACAGCCAAGTACCGAATATTGTAACATATTGAGTCTCGCCAGGCTATTCTATATCAGCTATGCGACTAGGCGAAGACGATTGGACGTGAATCGTGTGCCAGTATTGCTGCGTCGGCTGGCGGCTAATTCGTTCATTACGGTCCGAAACGGATCACTACAACCGCCAGCACTCGCGCTGCCCTTCCGTTCCTGTGGTAGGACCCAGGTGGCTGAATGTGTTCAGAAGTCTTAGCTAGTGAACATCTTTTCCTCTGAAACGGCTAGATCCCACACTAGAGCTCCTGTCTTTGTCCTCTTGTCGATGAAGAAGGATGCTGATGAACCTTGCCAGTCACGCATATGGTGCTTCTGTTTTTCTCTGATGCTCGACCACTGCCTTCAAACCGGAGACCCTTTGCGGAGCTACGATCGCCGACCGAAGCTAGCTGCATGTGCCGCCTGAGTGGGCTCCATGTGCTGGCCCGCACTGATCAATTTGCCGAATGCGCGCGCGCAAGTAGACTTCGTCGCTTTTGCTTTGAGAGATCACGTCGAGTATCTAAATCAATTGCAAGTGAATATCAGTGTAGTGGTACTTTCTTGCCTGAGTTGATTGTGGAGCTTGACGTGCGCCACCTTCCAACACCGGTTTTTCGTATTTTTACGCGACCAGATTTTGTATTTTGTGATCTTGTTTGTACGTCAATCGAGGAGAATAGGGGCAATGATAATGGTTATCTGGCGAACGCGTCAGCAAGTTTCGCATTTCAGAGGAGCCGACTGTCCGTATTTCATCTTGTTGTCAAACAATGCCGCTCAGATGCATGACCGCGTGCCTCAAGAATAACGGTCTCACTGGCTACGCGTATGTTGTTCAGAGTCCTTTTATAGTAGTCTGCATGCATCCCAAGGTATGTTTCTGAACGATGGTGTACGTCGAATAAAAAAGATAAATGCGAGCACTTCCATTCAAGAAGAGAGCTCCGCCTTTCCTCGGAGTGTCCGATTGATTCACAGAAACATAGACGACCCGCATCATTTCAGAGTGTTCAAGTGGGTATACGTCCGCTCTAGTAAGGTCAGAGAACGCATTGGGTTTGCACGTCCGTCTACCATTCGAAAAGGACGAAGCTTCATTCAGTGCGCACGTCCAGCAACGAAGTTCTCATTCCTGGCCTACCTAGCTCCTTGTGCCAGTGCGGTTTCGATCGTTTGAGCTGATGCTGTCGGGTCTTACTCGCGGATCTCGCGCAAAGTATGCGCCGGATCATGGAAACGTTTTGTTTGTTTGTTTTGTTTGTTGGATAAGCGGCAAGCGAGGAGCTATCGGCCTAGGCACGCTGACTCGTTTCGTAACTCGCAGCAAATTGAACTTTCTCAACAGTTAGGGAGCCCGTAGTCTGAGGCGCTTGAGGCAACCAGATCATATCGCCTTTCGTGCATCGGAAAGACTACGGCGGCCTTGATTGGTCAGCCTGGCTTTGATTTTCCAAGGTTCACTGGTGGTTCCGCTTTTCCCTGTCGAATATCGTACTTGACCTGCTAACCCACGCCGCCTCACGAGCTGTTTAAGAACGCTAAGATTTGCGCCATGAGTCTCCTGGGCAGGAGGTTGGAAAACCGTATTTTTTTCCTTGAGTGCCATTTTCATGCTCCTACCACTTGATCACGTCAAGCGGACCTCGCCTCCTAAACGAGAGACCAATTAAGTAGGACTGGGGCTGGTCCTTCAAGCTGTTGCTGTCGCCTACAGCATCTGCATCGCTCTCCTCCATTGATCGGCGTTGCGGGCGTAATGTTCACAGTTTGACAGGTTTGGCATGTTCAAAGATTCCGAGTGGGAACAATGTCACTGTCACATCCTGGAACGGAGCTCATGGGCCTGGGATCGTGACATCATGTGGCAGTGATGACGGTCTGCTTGGCCACGTGGCCAGAGGGGCTCGCATCCTGATGCCACTGGTACGCACCTCATTCTGGTCGCTTCTCCAATCCTTTCTTAGGAGCTATCAAGTTCCTTTTCAATCCGGTCGATGTTCAGACTAGGCTTCGATTAGTACCACTACGAAAGGTTCAGATAAGAAACAAGTGGTCTTAGCAGCGCTACGTGGGCTGTTGGGTGGGTTTTCGGCGTGCTTTTCCATGTGCACCCCGTTCTCCGGATTCACATGCAAAGGGATATGTTGCGGCCACCTTGTTTACTACACCGCTTTAGTAGCTTCTCGTCCCCTGACGAGCTTGGTTCTTATGAACACGGTTACATCCGTCGGCCGTTCCATTCTCCTGACCGTTCCATTTTCCTGATGGCCGTGCCAGAATAGAGCGCTTCTGACTTCGACGTACCCGATGATGGGAAGGTTCAACGCGCTTCCGAAAAGTGATTGCTATTCGGAAGCAAGCTCGAGCCACTTCTGCGGCATTATTTGGATGTATATGTCGTCGAAAGTGTGCCTTAATCTCCTCCTCACAACCTCACTCCACTCCGAACCTCCTCCGACCCTTTGTTTTGCCGGCGGTGTATTTTGCTGTGGCTCCGGCGCTGAGCAAAAGTACGCTATGTTGATACAAGGTCAGACCGGCCGGTCCGTCAGTCTCTTATAGTTGACGGCTACACGAACTTGAAGCTTTGCAAGTCTGTTTATTTTCACCTAGTAATGGGTATTACCTTCTTAGTCTCTCCTAGTTTTCCCCTCTTCTAGCTGGTGAGGTCTGCACTTCCCCTGAGCTGGGCTTTGTCTGTGGAACACACCCGAGCTCAAAAACCTTGACAAACGACGAGCTCAAAGTAAATCAAGACCTGCTTTTCAATAAAATTCCTAGTGTGTGTGCACAGGGAGGAGTAAGTCTTAGTACACCAATCTAGTGACAAAGGAGACCCTTCAGTCGATACTGACGAGAATTTTGGAGTCGATTCTCAGAGCGCTTATGCTTTTAAAAAGGGGACTTTCCAGTCGGAGGCGTTCTCAAAGTCGTTTTCAGACTGTCCATAAAAATTAAGTGGGTGTAGGACGTGCACGTCCTCCAAAACTGATCGACGGTGCAGGAAGCTCAAAGCGGCCAAACTTCCAATCCGATCCGTCCAAAAAAGACTCAGACTCACTGAGTGTGCACTTCCCGAGCTTTGAAACCCGACGCCCACTTTAATCCTGCTGGTTCTTGATTCATATAGTGGCTCAGTGCGGCTACAGACTTCAAGTTGATAACGGGTGTCTAACAGACATCAATTTCTTTAAGTCCTATCTCGTGGGTCATTTAGAGCGCGTCTCAAAGTTCGAAGAGAGATCACGTACTCTAGCTAAGGCCGCAATATTCTCCCTCATGCGCAGTCCCTGCGCAGTCCGGCGCACCGCGCCCGGAAAAGCGGAAACAGGGGACCAACGCGACCGAAATCTGGCGGATGGCGTAGGACTCGGGAATTCCGTCGCTGGATGTCCGTTCGTTCTGGTCCGTCGATCTGCATTTTGCAACTGCTGAGAGCGCTCCGATCGCCGGGCTGAAGCATGTTATGATGCACTATTAAAGGCTGCTCTCTTGGGTCGGTAATTACTAATCAGCATGATACCAACCGCTTTCTGTCAAGTTGTCAACCCGGTACCTAGCTTGATTCCTTGTACCCCGGTAAGTCAGTACCTGCTACACCTACCGTAACCGAACCGTAAGTTGTAACCTGTTCACCGGGTTCTCCTCTTGATTCAAGGAGCGTTTAATGCAATCTGTCAGGGCGACTCGAGAAAACGACCAGATTCTGTCCTGTGCCCTTCTGACAGCTGGCCAAGACCTGCATGCCATGATGCATCCTGGGATTCTCTTTGCGCAGACTCCAGAGTCTGCTACCTAGATACCGCACCTACCTAGGTACCTGCACAGGTCTAATAGCTTATTGGCATTCATGCACTCACTTAATTCTGTATAACCTATGGGCACAGAGCAAGGGCAGAATATGAGTGCCAGATGGACAACTGTCCGACAAATCAGCACGCTAAGCAGTTGGCATCTTCAAAGGCAACAGCTTGCCACTGGGGCTACTGGTATCAACTCAGTGCTGCTACTGCAATGCTTGCGCTTCATTGCGGTTCATGATGGGCGCAGCACTGAAGAGCGTTGAGAAGACCACGTAGCTGACTTTCTACACTCCGAAGCTGTCACTGTCGCGCATGGCGCATGATAGCGCAGAGTCCATACATCAGTTCTGATAAGCCCGCACCAAGCATCATGAGGAGGAAGGTGATCAACAAGAAGCGCCAAGGTTGAAACTAAGTACCTACAGCCGGCAATTCAGTCTTGGGCACCATATTTCAGAAGAGGCTCACATTCAGCTGAAGACTCAGTAAGGGAGTACATTATCGGCGGATCCAGCTGGCGCGAGGCATGGCCCAGCCTTATTGGGCCCACCATCAACTTCTGCTGCTACCTCATCGGGACAGGTTGGGCCAGCATTCCGCTAACATTCCACCAAATGGGGTTTGCCGTCGGCATCTGCTCCCTCCTCTTGCTGGGTTTCGCCAACGCCTACACGTGCGTAGTCATGCTCCAGTCCGCCGAGGAATTCGGCACGCCCGAGAGCTTTCATGACCTGACTGATGTCTCTTTGGGGCACAAGTGGGCAGTACTTTTGGACTGGGTCGTCGGGCTGACGTCATTCTTTGCGTGCACCCAGAAGCTGATCTTGGCGGGGGACTTTGGGGTGGCGATCAAGCAGCGAATCATTACTCATAACTATCTGCCGAACCGGGCGCTGATTGTCTTGACACTAACCATAGGCCTGGCGCTCCCGCTCGTGTTCAAACGAAACATGCGCGCGCTCGAGAAGGTTTCCTCCGGGGGGGTTCTCTGCACCTTGACGGTGCTCGCCATTCTGATCTACTCTTACTCTGTTTCGGTGGTGCGGAGTGACAGCTGGGCGGGCGGCGACGTCGTATATGCCAACGGGACGCCAGATCTGCTGCTAGCCCTTCCGGTGCAGCAGTTTGTGTTCGCCGGCCAGGCGGGAGTGATCCCACTTTACAAGTCGATGAAGAACCGGAGCTTGCGCAATGGGAAGATCATGGTCTGCTGCGCCTTCGCCTTTTGCGTCAGCGTCAACCTGTGCTTTGGGATCTTCGGTTACCTTCAGTTTCCTGAGGAGCAAGAGGGCGACGTTTTGAACAACTTAGTAAGCCATAAGAGCGCTGTTTACACGGCAATGTATTTCCTAGCCATAGCCGGGTCGATTTCGGGTTACCCCCTTAACCTGACGGTCGGTCGGGTGCATCTAGGCAATATTCTTCTGGGCCCCGAGAAAGCCAAGTCAAGAAAGTGGGTCTACTTAATGACGATGGTTTTCTTTGTGGGCACTCTTGGGTTAGGTCTGGGGATCAAGAACCTGGGCGTGGTTCAGGGCCTCGCCGGTGGGTTAGGAGACACTTTCAGTAACCTCGTAGTCCCCGCTGTGGCTCTGCTCCGATTGGTTGACAGGGAGGTGGAAAAGGAAACCCCCGGGGGGAGAGAAACAACGGGCCCCCGCAGGGAGTGGCGGAGACAGAAAGTCTGCTCCTAAGGGGGGGCCAAACGTGTGGTCAAACGCCGCTTTTGAACCAGGGCCAATTGAAAACGATCCAGAAGGAAGTCCAGCTAAGAGTGGCGGTCAGAAGAGTGTAGGTAGGTCACGTGATGACGGGAAAAGTGATAGAGGTAAAGAGGAGGAGCGGGAAAACAGGCATAGGAATCACAAGCAGCTTAGGAAGCTCCCGGCGTATATTCTTTTTGGAGTTGCTGCGGTGAACGCAGGGTTGGCAACGATTGGGAATCTGGTCTCCCTCATTCTAGTTGGGTGGGACAATGCGAGCATCACATTCAAGGTATCTTAGAGCTGTACGTGTCGAAATTAATAGGTTTTGAATCTTTGACGATTCGTGTCAAATTATTACGATTCTTGTCCAAGAGCATCTCAAGTAGGTGGTAAGGTATGGCTTTTCAGGTTCTGTGAGATGTAGCGAGCTGACAAGAGAGACTAGACCGAGAGGAGAAATTAACGTTTCAGACGTCGGGATCTAACTTGAACTGCTGCTAACATTTTGAGCGCGCGCGCTGTCGAAAGGCAGCTTTGACAGACATACATGTTTCCAGAGATTGTAAATATGTCAGCTGCGCATTCCGTACCGGCTACCTTTTATGCTCGGTCCTTTTATATGCCGCCACCGGTTTCCTGGAAGGTCGTTGATCAGCTTTTGCTACCGGCTAGCCTCCCGGAGCTCAAAGATCTCTGACTTTGTTGAGGTCAGTCTGCAAAGGTATTAAGTGCGCAAGTATGTGTCCTTCAAGGGATCCCCAGATGCAATACTGTGCCGAAGAAACACGAGGCGCCTTGGTTTCGAACATAAGCGAACTCAAAGCGAACCTGAAACCAAATCGAAGCCAAACCGAAGCCGCAATTCAGAACCGTTTCGCTTTGAAAGACGGAGAACGTAAGGCTGGTTCCAAGCTATTCGTAACCGGTTATGGGAAACTCAGGTTGCTGGGGGTCTGGAGACCCATCACTTATATAGCCGAACGGCCTACTTTGAGCAGATTGATCTGGAAGCCGGGCCTATGTCTATTGGGACAATTCCGCCACGGAGACTCTACAGCTTAGGGTGCTTGTCTAGTGGTAATGCTAGCCAAAGCGCACTGTGACTTTTGTCGCCCTCACCTCTGCTAGAGAGACAACCTTGGAGAGGCTCTCCATTACATAACGTCGGTTAACAACAGAACGTTTGAGCGCGGCCGCGGTGGGGCATATATACGCGCACGTCGCGGTGATCTGAAGAGCCCACTCTCATGCTTCTTTGGTGTCTTCCATTTCTTCTCGGCCTTTGCCACTCCGCTTTGGATGCACAGGGAGAGATCAGCGTTAGTCGAACTCGGATTGTGGTTGGTTAAGTGCCCTTCTACCAAGAAAACGTGGTTCGCGTCTGCTTCGATATCTTCAACCAATTCTGAATGGGGGCGAAAAGAATCCTGTGATGGATGCGGAGGAACGTTTGTCAAATTGAGAAATGATGACGAATTGCCTAGGGCGTATTTCGCTCCGATTGGAGCCGAAGCAAGCATAAGCTTGCCCGGGGGAAAAGACACGGGCCTAACCGAAGCTTGGCCCCGGTTCGAGGACCGTTTGTACAGAAGAGGATATGGGTCGCTACACATATGTACAAGGCAATCCAGAACATCTTGGTCGAGGCGAATATGCGACGATATATTCTGGCATACATTGGCCGCTTCTCCGTTTCGACGGAAGTGCAGGCTATGATTGAGCAGCCGCCGCTTTTGCTGTGATGCAGGGAGGCGATGATGTCACGCACTGCGCTTTTTTCGCGCACGCCTTTCATTCGCAGATAATGACCCGATGCCTTCTGCCCAGCTGCTACCATGTTCGCTCAAAGGGCTCCTTTGATGAACTTCTGGGTCCCTTCTGGGTATTGAGGAGAATAACAGTGCAGTGGTGATGATGGAATCGCATGACCCTCGAAGGCAGGCTCCTTCCGAAGTCTTCCAGTGGTCGGAAGCCACGTTACACAGATTGTTTTCTGCAAACCATCAGTCCGTAGCCGAATTTCTGATTGCACTTTGCGAATGCTGGCATTCCTTCAATTTTGTTTTCAACACCATATGTTCGTGGCTATGGTTCTGAAGCCCTCCGGTTTGGCCGCACTGATCTTCAAGGGAGCATTGGCAGCTTTTCCCCAAACATCAAGCCCGCTGCTGGGGTGACTCTTAGGTGTCACTTTGCAATTTCTGGTCACGCACGGGCAGAGCGTCAATCTAGCTCTGTTATCTTGCTTACGACCGTCCAGCTCACAAAGTCTTCCTGACGTCATCTGAAAGATTTTGAGACGTTTGTGGCCACCGGATCAAATCCGTTGGACGCGACATTACTCAGGGGCCACGAGCGCCCTGCTTGAGGGCGTGCAACATGCTCCGCGCCGTAGGATCGAAAATGTCACCGATCGGACGGTTCCGATCTGCTCGTCACGCTGTTCCGAGGCACAAACTGTCCTCGGTTGATGGCAAACCTAGGTTAACTGCGTAATCAAACATGGTCAGTCTCTAAATGGCTGGTAAACCCACCTTAACCCGACCTCCAGAACAGGTACTTCGCATGTCGGCCCGGGACCAAAATGGTAGGAATTTTGGAGCTAACACTATAAGGAGTAAAATTGACCAAGTTTGGGTTCTGGGCAGACGTGCGAACTACCTCTCGGAGCATAGAACCGGTTGCTGGTTCATTTACCCTAGGCGCTTGTGGCCCCTGTCTGAGTGTTCTGTATGTGCAACCTGACGGCCGCGCGCGTTGCGCGTGCGCTCGCGGGGTGTGTGTCAAACCCCGCGCGGCCTGCGCGGCCGCGCTGCGCACGCACACGAATCATTCATTCCGTCTTATCGATTGACGGGGAGCGCTAGCCGCGGCCGCGGAGCGCAGGCGCGCGGGCCCGTGACTTCAGCCAGCTTGCGAAGTTCAGGAGCGCGCATTTGATCGGGCGCCGGTCGCGGGAGCGGCGCGCCGCGCGCCCGAGGCGCGCGCCCGCCCGCGTCGTCTGCTGCCCCCTTGCTTTGGAGAAACTCCGCCGTTGTCGCGCGCCTTTTTTCGTCTTCGTTTCTCTTTTCCCATTATTTCGTTTTTGATTCGTATGAACCGCCCTCGAACAATGGCCTGGCTCGTGTTTGTCCACCATCAGAGGCCAAATCACTCGCTCATAGGCCCGGTGCGCTGTGCACGTGGTTCGGAGTCAAGGCGCTTTCATATATACAGTGCTTTTCATGGCAAACGTTTGGCTTTGAACTTAGTCGACCGTGCGCACCTATGTATGTCAGTCGGAATGGTAAGTCTGCCGCGAAGCAAAGTAATGTAGAATGCATCACATAAGGACGCTAAACGCTTCCCGCAGTGCCTCCAATCCTTATGGGGTCAATGGTTTGCTTGGCCGGCAGCGATGACGCGGAACCGGACGACAATCCGTCAGTTATCACTTGGGGTTGCGAGATCTGATGCTGGAGTTGCCTCCTTTTGGCGCCCTGATTGACTGCTTCAGGTGGCATCGGTTGAGAGGCGCGTCGTCATCGAGCCACATTCATCCGGGGCCAATCCGAAGCTTCTCGCTTCAAAAAGATGTACTCTTTGCAGACGGGCCGGAGCAAGGCCCGGTTGAACGGATGAAATGAAACCGTACTGTCAGTGGTTCTGTCACGTTCGACCGTTTCATTTGGGAAATGTAGAATCCCTGTTCCCAGCAAAAGCGGCTGGGAAGATGGGCCATGATTCCAGTTCGTCGGCCCCTTAAACTTTTCTCGAGCGACACCGCTTCGAGTCCCGTTCGCAGCCAAAACGCCCTACGCTAGTTGTCGGCACATCTTGCTGATAGACCACGCTTCCTAAAGAGCGCCTCAACAATCACGCTTCTGCGAGTCAGAACCAGTCAACGAGCGTAAGAAGCACTGGCAGCGGAAATGATTATTATCGGCTTTTGTTTTTTCTCAGATTGATTCCTTCTAGACGGCGCGCTCTGTTGTCGAGCACTATAACGCGACCGCACATATTTGAGCGCTCATCCCCCCAGAATTTTGCTGCCACGTTGTTTTTATCCTCGTCATGCGGACGAACAAACGCACCGAGGTCGGAAGCGCTGATGACGAGAAATTGGATGTCTCAAACAGACCGTAGCGTATCGGCGAGGTGCTCTTTTGAACCTCTGCAAACAGTTGATTATCTGTGTCTCATGTGCCGTGCTCAGTCTTCCTGTAAGCGTCACTCCTCTACGAATCTTATAGAGGTTCACACCGATTTGCGCTGAGAGAGAGATTGAGGAACCCGTTTCTGAGAGTCAGCCAGAATGAGTGGGACAGAAGAAACCTAAACGGACGATGGGGAAACACGTAAGACATCTGCCAATGACAATCTCTAGCAAGTGAACCCGTTATCCTTGAAAGCCGAAAAGCTGTAACGAAATTTGTGCTGAGCACATGTCATAAAGCCGATGCTCAACCTACTTAATACTCAATGATGTAGACCTTGCACTTGAGGTTGTCAAAAGACGTTTTGGAACGATGCAGAATGATTGATACTGAAGTTTACTGCTCGGTCCGTCTATTCCTGGCTCGAAGGCACGACCGCCTTCTCTTGGTATTCTATGTTCATTTGAGACATCAGGAAGCCATCATGCGAGCCGACATGACGCGACTGAAGCGTGGCATGGGTGATAGGTGACCGCAGCAAAGTGACTCAAAGTATATCGAAGTCATGCCTCACTT